TGTCTACGTAGTTTTATCTGGGCCTGTTGGCTCCAGTGTTTCGCAACCATATGTTGTACATTTCTATCAGCACAAATGCCCGTTAACCGCCAGAAATCCATCTGATAACCATCCGATAAGAAACTGATCCTATGTCCGACGGAATATCTTATTGCGATGGAAACCGGAGGGTCGAATCGTGGCCTCTTTTGACGGTCAACTCCAAGGCTAGTCCGACGGACCCATGCTCTTTTGCCTTATCCCCGTTTATTCTACGTTATACCCTGCATTGACAATAGCTGTTCCTCTCACAGACCGCACTTACATCACTTGGATATATGGTCGTTTGTACATCAGAACTCACAATCTTGATAAGATTAAAGGCACAGTTTGGAACACATCGTTACATCTACAGACCGCTGTTGTAAGCAATGTGTTTTGCCATTTGTTCCCGTTCGCAAACTGGTTGTATTCACTGTGTCCAGCACATGGCTACCAGGCTCATCCTCAGTTTACGAGATTTTCCGGATGAAGATGGGTGCGATAGACTGGGACTGGACAACCTGTCCTAATATCGGGTACGATTCGACCTCATCATGATCTACCGCATTTTATGTCTAGGTGACTCCCATACTGAGGCCACGACTCCACTTGCGAACACCCTGCAACACACACGGATACTAGTACAAGCTTGCGGTGCCAGAGCTGAAAGGAGTCTCGCACTGCCCGATGCTTGTACGGCGATTACTCATTGTTTAGAACATTTTACCAGAGCATGCAGTAGAATCCAACACAATTCAGTATATCAAAACGTTGTTGAATGTATATTTCTGCAGTGTTCGATTCTGAGAATGATTATCCAGTGCCACTGATATCCCATACCTGTAGGTCTCAAGTTATTGTGACACGTTTTTCACGACATCACGTGCGAACTAAAAAGCGATCAGTGTTTACGGGTAGTACAGATTTAAATTTCCACTTGCACCAATACTACTTTAACTAGTAGTTGCCAGCTGTACTTACATGAAGTGCATTGCTGCAGCCAGTGTAGCGTTCGAGCAGTAGTACCTGAATCGTTAATCTGATATAGTAATACGTAAAACCGCATGCTTATGATGTAGTACACTAATGGAGTTTCGGTTATGTGATACTCCTAATTTACACATGGAGTATATCACTGGAGCCTTCATGCATCTGCATGGCACAGAGTTGGAGCAGCGATAGTATTCTGCGGTGATGAATCAGGACGGTGTCTGATTAAGTGTGTTTTGTCAAACAAATGTATGACACTGACGTAAAAGCAAGTATGCTAGCGACTTACAGTAGCACTTTGGAAGATATAATAAAGAATAGTTTTTGTCATATTCCACTAAAATTAACAAACGTTGACCGTACAATTCTTGTCCTACATTCGAACACTTGATTGTCCAATGGTGATGATTGGGATGCATATATTGAGCATTGGTGACAAGCGTAGTACATATTGTCAGCTAATGTGATAATAATTAACGATTTCGTGATTACCACTTTCGTATTCCTTCCTATCGTATACCTAGATGGGCTTTATTCTCATTATCCGAAGTCAGTTGGTTTCGTTTTCGAACAGGACGATTTTTGCCTGGCAGCGGAAAATAAAGTCTCATTCTATGCATGACCTGCGGCTTCTACCTGCGTTTGCGGAATGATTGTGCTCGTCTCCTAACTCGAATTTCTCTGGTGTGTGCTATCGATGGGATGACTCTGAGTATGGTGTGGAGCAGTAAGGCTTGTAAGAAGCTCTCTTGCCGATGCTGGCATATTTCATTGCTGTCTGTGAACTACTGCTGTTCGAAGGTATGCGTAAATACCAAAGAACCTGAGTGTTCACTCAATGCACTGAGCCACTTCCTTGCTCTTTTCGTTCCCAGTCAGCAAGGTCGTTACGAGTAAGGTATTGTTGGGCATCACCTAAGTTTTGACGAGAAAAAGGATGCACCGCTGTTACCCTTCGTGGTGATCGTGCTTTTTAAATAGACCGTTCGCCTGTCTAAGAATTCCGCATTACTTTCCATTTTATCACCTCACTTTACTTTTGAACCGTTGAAATAGTGCACATCCATTTTCAGGTTTGTCACGCACAAGTTTGTTGCGTATTATGTCAAACGCCTATTTTAAGATTGAAGTCCTTTTTGTTTGTGGGCAGTTCATTTTACAAGCTCCTCTACTGCATTCATTTCGGCTGGTTGGGTATAAATTTGTGAACATTGGCGGCCACAACGCACTAACAATGATCACCACACCACTCATTGGATCTCCGAGAGGTCGGTGAACCTGTTTAAATCAAGAAGAAACCTCCTTTTTCTGGCTCTGAGCACAATGTGACAAGACGGGATATTAGGCGCGAACTAAAGCGCTGCCTGCATGCTGACAAGGAAGCCTGATGGACCAGTCGGGCTCATGAAATGGAGGAGGCAGGAGCAGTAGGCAATTACCGCAAGCTCTTCCAGCTAATCCGCATCACGGATCCCAGAAAACCAGGCGTAAGTAAGACAATCAGAGACAGCGCGGGTGCACTGATACACAATAAGGGCGTCGTATGGCATGTTGGGCGGAAAACTTTCAAGATCAGTTCAGCTGGTCCCCTGCTCCCCGAGTTCTCCCTACTCAGGTGATGCAGGACGAGCCATGGACGGTTAGTTTAGAGCCTCCGTCGGAGGCCGAGGATCGAAACGCGATCACAACCCTTAATCGTTTTCGTGCTGCCGGCCTGGATTCCCTCCCACCTGCACTATTTGAGGATGGAGGTGAGATCCTCTGCAAAGCACTGATTTCCTTATTCGAATATATCGCGGAATAAGTGTCCCAGCTAATTGGAGCGAATCGATTTTAGTGGCAATATACAAGGAGCGCAGTCGCGCATACTTCTCTAATCACCGGCGTATTAGCCTAAGGCCAGTTGTGACAAAATAACTGGCTTCCATTCTCGTTCGTCGCCTCACTGCGGAACGGCAAACTCGGATCAGGGAAGAGCAGGCCGGTTTCCGCCCAGGACGTGGCTGTATAGACCATATATTCACTTTGGGTCAGGTGCTACAGCAGCGGCACGTATACCGCAGACCGACAATAGCTGTGTTCCTCGATTTCAGGAGTGCGTTCGATTCAGTCGATCGATCTATTCTTTTCGAAATACTTGCATGGAAATATGTTCCCATGAAATCTGTGAACATCTTTCATGCTCTTTGCTCAAACACTGCGGGCCGTATCATGGTCTACGGTGGCCTAGCGGATAGCTTTCCGACCACAAGTGGCGATCTTCAGGTTTGTGGGATTTCCCCATATCTGTTCGATTTCCTCGTGGATTCTATCACGAAGTGTTTCTTTGTGGAATCTTACGATGTACGCATTGAGATGCTTCTGGTGATAGGTTAGTTGATCTTGATTATGCGGACGATATGGTCTTTTTTTGACGATGCTACGGCGGCGCAATCCACCCTGAAGAACCTGACTAGAGTGGTCCCATTATTCGGTATGCAATTCTCACCTTAAAATTACTGCAGGAGCACCAGCCGCTTTATGACATCCTGACTCTTGCCAACGAGGAAATCGAGGTGGTTGATCAATTCGCTTTTCTTGGCAGCTGCATAAGTGACGATAGGCGCATATAAACTGACGGCAGCTCACGCATTGCAAAGACCAGAGCTGCTTTCTTGAACCTGCGGCATCTTTGGCGACAGAAGGGAATTTCCCTCAGTCTGAAATGCCGCGTTTACAACGCCACAATGAGGGCCGTTCTGCTCTATGGGAGTGAGATTTGGCCCCTTCGGTCTGAAGATTTGAGGCGCCTTCAAGCCTTTGATCATCGTTGTCTGCGAAGCATTGCTGGAGTCGGATGGCACCAGCGTGTTCGCAATTATGATGTGCGTAGGCGAGTACTAGGTAGTGAGGATCATGCTAGCTCCCTAGAACAACAGATAGCACTGAATAAGTTGCGTTGGCTCGGGCGCACGCTATGTATGACTGGCCACCGCTTACCTAGGAGGGTCTTATTCAGTCTGCCAGGGTAGTTGGCGTAAGGCTCGAAGTGAACATTAGTTGACTTGGGTGCGGGAAATGAAGTCACTGACGACCAAACTGTGTGCCATTGGTTCATCTCGCCTTCAGGGCTGTAGTCTCTGTGACTCTCCTTGTGCTTGGCTCGAGACTTTACAGGACATGGCTCGCAACCGACACCAGTGGCGTGTCTGCTGCCGTCTTCTAATCGGATTGCCTGTTTAAAGTGTGTTTGGTGCTGAGTTATCTGAGGGGTAATGACTGATTATGCCGCGTGGCAGTGAAAGCCCCAAGGAAGCTGTCTCGCCCTTGCGGTCTTGTCTTTGCACGGTAGCCAGCAGTATGTTGTATACAGGATGTTGTATACATGAGGTGTAGGCGCCTTGACCCTGAATGTTTGCTTAGCGCATCAAGGTCTTCAGGTAAGTCCGCGTTCCCTTCCGCTTATTATTCCTTAGTTCGTAGCTCATCGTGGTTGTATGGCAGGGAAGCATCAGTTCAAATGAGTTATTTACTGCTGTTGATTATGGTGATGATGATGACAACGCCATCAGTAAGTAAGTTGTATATGGCCTATTTCCACTGATGATTTCACAAACGTTTGAGCGGCAAGGAGTGGTGTATACAGAGAGTTGCCAAAAGATCAGCTTCAGTATGTTTAACACATTTCGAACATTCCGGTACTTTGGTATTTCACAATGCTCGTTTTTTGTCTCTAAGAAGCTCTCGATTACTCTGATATGAACTTCCACTAACATTACAGTACACTAGTTGTAAACTATAGTCCGTTATAAACTTTTCAGGTCTTAAATTTAACAGCCGCTGATGCAGTTTTTTGGCACATGTACCCAGTGTAACCTATTGCTTACCACCTGAACCTTTGAAAGTTTGCCATCACTCGAGTCTATGTAAGATTGCCTATTTTGCTGCTACACTAATCTCAATGGTTTAACGCCCACGGACTATTCTGTTTGGTTTTCCACTTATTCCAGGTCAACGAATACATTGCTACAGCTGTGATTCATTCTATCATCCGGAGTGTAGCGATCCATTCACCAGACATAACCAGGTTCCGAAATCAATTCCTATCGTTGAATGCAATTCACATTGCTTCAAGTGGGCTCTGAAGACAGATGGTAAGAAGAGCACTTGCTATCGCGTTGACGTGAATTTTCAACGAAGCATACTTTACGCGTTGACTGACATAGGGGAAATTAGCACTCTATTAGTAGTATAAAGTTTGAAGTAGTGTAAACTTCGGTAGTTCCAAGCATGTAGCTTCCTAGTTAGAAATAGTGTTTGCTTGCTGTTGGTTTTTATTGTCTATCCACCACCCCTCAGTGTCTGTCATTCTGGCGTGCTATAGCCCTCCTAGCTGAGTGAGGAAAGATGTCGTCAGTGGTATTGAAAATGTGGTGATTTATCTTATTAGAAACCCGCCATCTACGGCTATGAAGTAGACTTCACCACAATCAGGAATTCTTGCTCTTAGCAATCTATCATCTATATTTCGGAGTGGTTTCAGAGGTCGATTGTTGACAGTCGGGGCATGCACTGGATGCCCTAACGGGGTTTCCTTGTTTCCACTTATCCAAGTGCCACATTCCGGCCTTTTGGCAGCTCTTTCCATGTGAGACCGATCTAATTTAAAGCAGTATTTCTTACAGATCTCTAAATTTATCGGTATCTTTCACCTCCTCTGTAGTCTGTAGTCATTCTACATAATCCCTTAATCCAAGAGTACAAACATGTCTCTGGTACTGCTGGAACTATTCCCATAAGGGTCAAATCAGGCAGTAACATTCCGTAGACTAATTAATGGTTACTTCGCAGTGCTGGGGACTCATCAACACTATCCACTTCCCCCGTTATGTGAATAGCCCAGCCGTTTGCCTATAATCCAAGTGATAGTCAAGGACCGCGCTGATCGTCTTCAGAACCCATCATAGGTTCAGTCTAATGTATACGAGATGAAGAGCCGCCACCGAAAAAGACCGAGCTTGCTGGCCCGGACACTAACAGAAGATGAGCAAACAAGGGTCATGGAACACTGACTAATGACCCGAGCCGAAGCTAACACTTAGCCAATTAAGAAAGGAAACACTGCGAACAAGTGCAACTTCTGGTATATTATAAGGGAATTCTAAATTTTTTGGCTGACAGCATCTGCTTACAGTCAGATCTTCGTTTTGATTCTTGGAGGGCTACACAACCGTCTGCTCGTGACCATGACAGCTTTTGTGAAACGAACCTCGTTACAGCGCAGACAACCACCTCAGGTAACTGCATCCGCCGTGGTCAAGAAGCTTAGACCCTGCCTGCAAAGCTAATACATCGCTTTCATTCCCTAACCGGACTTAGTTAATGCACCCTGCTTACGAACTATCAAGGGGTAAAACGATCCTCCGGTGCTTTACCAGGACGTTGTTGGTCATCCGATTAAATGTTGTGTTAAATTCCATTTACCTTCCCGGTTTCATTTGAAGCTACCATCATCACCATCACTCATTTGAACTGATGCTTCCCTGCCATAAAACCATGAGAGCCTATGAAATAAAGAATAAGATGAGGGAGAGAAGGGGGACTTACCTGAAAACCTTGATGCCCTAAACAAACATTCAGGTTCAAGGCGCCTACACCTTATGTAGACGAAATACCGTCTTAAACAGCTGCCTATCATGCAGAGATAAAGCCGCAAGGGCGAGACAGCTTCCCTACGGCACTCATTGCCCCTTGTCATAATCAGCCATTACCCCTCAGATAACTCAGCACCAAACACACTTTAAACAGGCAATCCGATTAGAAGACGGCAGCAGACACGCCACTGGTGTCGGTTGCGAGCCATGTCCTGTAAAGTCTCGAGCCAAGCACAAGGAGAGTCACAGGGACTACAGCCCTGAAGGCGAGATGAACCAATGGCACACAGTTTGGTCGTCAGTGACTTCATTTCCCGCACCCAAGTCAACTAATGTTCACTTCGAGCCTTACGCCAACTACCCTGGCAGACTGAATAAGACCCTCCTAGGTAAGCGGTGGCCAGTCATACATAGCGTGCGCCCGAGCCAACGCAACTTATTCAGTGCTATCTGTTGTTCTAGGAAGCTAGCATGATCCTCACTACCTAGTACTCGCCTACGCACATCATAATTGCGAACACGCTGGTGCCATCCGACTCCAGCAATGCTTCGCAGACAACGATGATCAAAGGCTTGAAGGCGCCTCAAATCTTCAGACCGAAGGGGCCAAATCTCACTCCCATAGAGCAGAACGGCCCTCATTGTGGCGTTGTAAACGCGGCATTTCAGACTGAGGGAAATTCCCTTCTGTCGCCAAAGATGCCGCAGGTTCAAGAAAGCAGCTCTGGTCTTTGCAATGCGTGAGCTGCCGTCAGTTTATATGCGCCTATCGTCACTTATGCAGCTGCCAAGAAAAGTGAATTGATCAACCACCTCGATTTCCTCGTTGGCAAGAGTCACGAGGTCATAAAGCGGCTGATGGTCGTTCAGCAACAACCATGCCATTTTCTTCAAACATAAACTTCATCCTGCATCTGCCGTCGTGCAGATTATCTAGTGTCACCTTATCTGCTGCATACAGCATGGCGAATAAGCGAAGACATGCTACTGCTGGTGCCTCCCTTCTCTCTTTTTTGTACCTGTTTCTCTTACTCAAATCCCGACCCCCATTACTAACCTTCCTTCTATACTTCCCAGCCTTATTGACAGCAACCGAAGTGCCACCGGAGTGGAAGCATCTGCAGCCACCATTCCACCGCGCCTATCGGCAAAATCTCTTTTATGTCCCCCCTTTCCCGTTTCCAGGTTGACATACAACGTTCGCACTCCAAGACAAGTAGGTCAACAGGCTGCACTCGCCCACACCTTGGGTATTGATGTGTGTTGTGTGTCCGATGCAGCACTCACGGGTCAAGCTGGTGTAGGTATTATTCTAAGCTCCAAGGCTTAGCCATCGTTGGTTGATTGGATTCCAGTGAGTAGCTGTTTAGGTGCAGCCCGTTTGACGACATCAGTTAAGGTGAATTCACGAAGCAATACAACACGCTGTTTGTTTGTGATTTCCGTTTATGCTCCCACCGACTGCAGTTCTAGTGCTGTCAAGGACACATTCTATCACGAACTGAACGCGCTACTACACAATGCTACTAGTTCAGATATTATAGTACTGTCAGGGGATATAAATGTACAAGTAGGGCGTCTGAGCTCTTCAGAAGCTCAGTTGGGTGGTAATTGTGCGCATAATTCCGAACGGACTGACAACGGTGAGCGTCTGCTGCAACTGTGTGCGGAACACCAGTTGTTTCTTAGTAGCACTGCTTTTAGACAGTGGGCGCCGAAGTGCCACTTGGCGTCCTCCTGTAGCTGGCCAGCGATGGACCAAAATTGACCACATAGGCATAATTTACAGATGGCGTGGTTCCATGCTGGATTGCCGCTCATACTAGAGTACCTGTGTCAACTCTGATCATGCCTAGGTACGCTGTCGTTTCTCCATGCACTTTAACGGGAGGCGCACCAAGCATCTCCTCCTATTGGCAACTGAAAATTTCTCTCAACCCTCGGTCAGGCAAGCCTATAAAGATACACTACGTACACAACTTTCACCGCCTTGTTCTAATGACACCGACCTTCAGTGGAATAGGATCTCGGACGCCATGCACGACGCAGGAGCATCTGCTTGTGGCACCATCAGTCGTCACCGGACCAGTCACTGGATATCCGAGAGGTTGGTGAACCTGTTGGAATCTAGGAGTAACATCCCTTTTCTGGCTCTGAACGCAATATCACCAGACAGGCTATTAGGGGTGGAATAAAGCGGAGCCTTCGTGCTGACAAGGAAGCCTGGTGGACAAGTGGGGGGTCAAGAAATGGAGGAGGCAGGAGCAGTAAGCTATTACCGCAAGCTCTTCCAGCTAATCCGCACCACGGGTCCCAGAAAACCAGGCGTAAGTAAGACAATCAGAGACAGCGCGGGTGCACTGATACACAATAAGGGCGTCTTATGGCACGTTGGGTGGAACACTTTCAAGATCAGTTCAGCTGGCCCCCTGCTCCCGGACGTCTTCCTTCTCAGGTGATACAGGACAAGCCATGGACAGTTAGTCTAGAGTCTCCGTCGGAGGCCGAGGACCGAAACGCGATCCCAGCAATTAATCGGTTTCATGCCGCTGGCCCGGATTCCCTCCCACCTGCACTATTTAAGGATGGAGGTGAGGTCCTCTGCAAAGCATTGACCTCCCTATTCGACCGTATCTGGAAGGAAGAGAGTGTCCCAGCTGATTGGAGCGAATCGATTTTAGTGGCAATATACAAGAAGCGCAGTCGCACAGACTGTCCTAACCACAGCGAATTAGATTAAGGCCAGTTGTGACAAAATAACTGGCTTCCATTCTCGTTCGTCGCCTCACTGCGGAACGGCAAACGTGGATTAGAGAAGAGCAGGCCGGTTTCCGCCCAGGACGTAGCTGTATAGACCATATATTCACTTTAGGTCAGGTGCTGGAGCAGCGGTACGTATGCCGCAGACCGACAATAGCTGTGTTCTTCAATTTCAAGAGTGCGTTCGATTCAGTCGATCGATCTATTCTTTTCGAAATACTTGCGCGGAAATATGTTGCCATGAAATCTGTGAACATCCGTCGTGCTCTATGTTCGAACACTGCAGGCTGCGTCATGGTCTACGGTGGCATATTGGATGGCTTTCCGACCACAAGTGGCGTTCTTCAGGGTTGTGCGATTTCCGCATATCTGTTCAATTTCGTCGTGGATTTTGTCATTGAGTGTTTCCTTGCGGAGTCTCAGGATGTAGGCTTTGAGGTCCTGCCTGGTGCAAGGTTAGCTTACCTAGATGATCCGGACGATATCGTCTTGCTTTTCGATGATGTTGCGGCGGCATCTCCACCTTGATTACCCCTTCTAGGGTGGTCTCATTAGATGGTATGCAATTCTCACCTTCAAATTACGAAGTGTTGCTGCAGGACCATCAGCCGCTTTATGACCTCGTGACTCTTGCCAACGAGGAAATCGAGATGGTTGATCAATTCGCTTTTCTTGGCAGCTGCATAAGTGACGATAGGCGCAAATAAACTGACGGCAGCTCACGCATTGCAAAGACCAGA